CCCCCCCCCCCCTTCCAAAAAAAAAGCACTTTAAAAAAAAGAAGAAAAATACGGATAAATGGCATTTTGGACACTTAATCATCACTAACAATAATAAGCATTGCAAGCAATCTTACAGGCTTACTTATTCAATTCCGCTCTTAAATTTAATAATCTTGCTTCATTGGGTGTGTAAATATTTCAAAATTTCACTTAAAAATAAATCTTAACAGCAATAGAAATAATTGTTTCGACATGCTTCCCCATTCACGAGTCAAGCAGCGGCAGGGTCGCTTTTAAGGACAAGTGGGCTAACCCAGATTTCAAGGGTTTCCAGAAATCTTGACCTTCCCAAAATTAGGCATTGCCCTACCTATAGGAGAAAGTTTGGTTTCATTGGTGTGTATATTTGTTTGGTTATAGAGAAAACTCTCATTGTCTTTTAAAGAAACTGAGCAAGGTTCCAAAAACTTTACCTTCGATTTTTGTAAAAAAATGTGTCCGTATTTCCACAACGAACGGTTTAGCTGACTTGACGAGGAAGGCTGGCTCATCGATTGTTACAAACGTGCGCTGTTGGCTCGGTTAGAATCAGACTGGTGTAAGATGCGAATCGGTTTGAATCCCCAGACTTTTGATTGTTGTTGTTGTTGTTGTCGTTGTTGTTGTTGTTGTTGTTGTTGTTGTTGTTGTTGTTGTTGCTGTTGCTGGTAAGTGTTTTACGGCGCTCAAAACTGCGCAAGGTCGTATAAGCGTGCGAGACACATGAAGATTTTTAGTTTAGTAGGAATTAATTTTGAATTTTGTCCGGGTGGCGCCCGAAACCTACTCAAATCTATTTTGGACCACAAGGAATCTTTAACGTGCGCAACTTGCACTCTGGATCTTCGAAATTTTTTGCTCTTATCTGTGAAGGTTAGGTGTTAGATCTCACCTATCCTAAGATCAAAGGTGTAGCTGAAAGACAGCAGTAAGAAGGAGCCAAGGAGTAACAGTAGAAAGGCTGCAGACAGAGTCAGGAGCCCAGAGGAGGGGGCAAAGGAGGTGGGGAGGGGGGGAGCAGAAAGAGGAGACGAAAGCAGACGACAGAACAGGGTTAGCGAGCAGGAAAGGAGGTGAAAGAAGAACATTTGAGAAAAGAAAATCGTCCGTCGCTGTCAGGTTTCGAACCCTGGCCTATTGGATGAGAAGGAAACACCACAACCTCTAGACCACGAGACCCCCC